TACAGATATGAGTGATTTAATATATCAATATTAAAATACTACGTAAAAATATAACACAAACATAATAATAAGGAATTCATAACACATTCCGGGACAGTAAATTACTGGCATTCCGGCAAACCAAACCGCATTCCGCGACCCTGGCCGTGGCCGTGGTCGCTAGGGGTGGATTTACCATAATTTGTCCACTGAATCGTGTAAGTCCGCCACAATCTGTGACCGCAATGAATTGTGTATAAATATTAAAGATAAATGTATAGTCCCTTAACGTTGTAACATTAGTTCCTTTCCTTTCCCGCCGTTTTCTTATACGGAATGGGAAGGGATAGTGGATTTAACGGTATAAGAGACGCACAGGAAGGGGAAATCCTCTTTATGTACGTCTCCTTTTCCGTTGCTTAAAGGTAGGCATCTGCAATTACGGATGTATATGGGCAGCGATCGCTTCACTTTTTCGGCAAATTTGGCCAGCCACTCCCACGTTTGCCACCTTATAGTATAAAAAAATGGTTTCAGATATTTTAAATAATTATTTTACCAAAGAGAACTTCCAACAACTTTACCACATATCGTAATGCTTGTATGATTATCAATTAATTTTATATCATCAAGAAATCTTTATTTAACATGTATATATTGTATGTATATTTGGATTATTTTAAATCATTCTCTACTCGCTACTAGACAATGTATCCAAAGTTTCATCACGAATATTGTTTTAAACCTTTTCGTAACAATGTCGACAAAAATCTTATTTTATGAAGCTTCTACCGGGCGTACATTACATATGTAATATAAATTGTGTAACGATACGAATACGTTCACAACACGTAAATATTCGCGATAGACACTCAGAAGTGATGACACGTGTACTGTAAATCGTTTAACAAAGCGGAAGTGACCATTACGTAGCTACGTTAGCTGTGTAGCTAAGCTTCGTACATATAGTACGGTAGTAACTTTATCGATAAGCGAAGTCCGGTACACGGTGCAGGTACAGTAATTGTGTTATGTCCAACAGAGCGGGCTTTTAGAGATATAGCATGGTATAGCTTTTAGTTCATATATTCTTAGACGTGTAAAGGCAAAGTTTGACAACTTAAAGGTGTTTGCGTTGATGACAATTTTCTGTCAATTTTATCTCCCTGAACACGCTCTATGTATACTAATATTATAGTCGTTGCTCGCGACTTCGTCCGCGTGGAATTATGAAATAGTAAAAATGTTACCCATGTTACTCACTGATAATGTAGCTTTTGAATGGTGAAAGAATTTAGTAAATCCGCTCAGTAGTTATTTAGTTATTTCAATACATACAAGAGTCCAAAACTACAAATCTTTCCTCTTTATAGAATTATTTTTTTATTAATATTAGAATAGATATGTAATGTTATATGTATCGATTAAACTTAAAAACTCTTTAAAGAATATTTCTGACTTAATGTTACTTAACCCCTAAAATGTTCTAAAGAAAGGAACAAAAACGACCTTGTTCATAAAACAAAAGCGAAAAACAAGTTAATAATAACAAAAGAAGGTCCCTTCGGAAACAATGAATAAACCAAAAATTAAGATCCCAATAGCGGCTAAATATACATTCAATTGTTTTGTAAAATAACAAACATTTGTTTACTTGTAAAAGAACAAGTATAGAATTGAATTGTTCATAATTTATTTATAGCAATAAACTTTCGACGGTTTCTTTTAAATGTAATTTATTTAATACTAGCTGTCGCCCGCGACTCCGTTCGCGTGGAATTAAAAAAAAAGTAAATAGCCTATGTGATCTTCCAGGCTATGTTTTACATTTATGCCAAATTTCATCGAGATCCGTTCAGCCGTTAAGGCTACAAACTCTGACAAACATCCATCGATCGAAACTTTCGCATTTATAATATTAGTAAGACTAGATAGATGTAATCAATTTTTATTTTAATCTGTATTTTTACGTGGATTTTCATACATTTGTAATTATATACCTAAAATATTTGTTTTGTTACTTGTATCAACACATTTAACTGATAAAACGAGTGAACTTTTAATTGAAAAAACGTTCTAACGATTTACGGATATGCTCGTGTGATGATATAAATTTATAACAATTTGTTCCTCAATGAAGTTTCAGGTTAATGAAGTAAGAGAGGGCGCATTACTTTTGGCCTCTTTACAAGCCAGTTCTGAAAGTGTACGAAAAGATAACGTTCCCCGGAGCGCTGTCAACTTCCAAACTTTTTCGAGGTTGTGACTTTTGTCTCTTGTATATAACAACGAAAAATAAACAGTTTGATAAAATCGCTTTAGGCGTACATTCAAAAATTTCGAGATTTCACAAACAAAACTTTTTTTTAAAATATTCATTTAACCTTCATTTGCCACGTAGTTTACAGTTAACAACAAAGCCAGATTATATTTCGTAGTTACACGTTACACTATTTTATGTAGTCGACTATAATTGCTAAACATTGTTTGGACTCTTGTCCCCCTATCAATATTCATGTGGGTTTCCATTACCTTCGTATCTCCAAAGCGGAAAAAGTTAAATTTTGTATTTCGACAGTGGAAACCAAAAGTTTGGGCAATATTTGTTTAAACCGTTTTCTGCCTTCAAAATGGATAGATCACAGAAGAAAAGTTTAATCTGAAAATCTATACTCATATTATAAAGTGAAAAGAATCGTATTTTCGTAACAAAATAACTCAAAAACTACTGAGGCGATTTAAAATATTATTTCACCATTCAAAAGCTACGTTATCCGTGAGTAACATAGGCTATGTTTATATTACTTTTTAATTTCAGGTGACCGAACTCGCGAGCGTCAGCTAGATAACATAAAATCCCTGACCAACAAAAGGTTGGGAATCCCTGGTACAAACAGATGAGCGAAAATTACTTTTAAGCACAAGGCGAGCAATTTCATCAAAGACGAAATAAATGTGCCTTAATTTACGTTACCGCCACAAGTCCTAGGATTATGTCCAATTTACTTAGGGCAATATCATTAGCGAGGCTTTTTATGGTCAGATAAAAACTTAACGACCGCTACTCATGCTACAGGCAAAGGTTAAACTATTAAATTTCATACTAATATAATATAATACATTATTAATTTTTAATTTACATTGTTTGGATATGAACTGGTTTATTTTTTTATTAAAAGTCAGTCTTTGACACCTTTCCTGCAATTTCATTCTTGTCTTAAAATTCAGGAGTTAACAGTGCAAAGTTATTCCTTTGTGTTAAGAGCAGTTTAAAACTTCAACCTATTTATTTCCACGTTAGCTACATAAGTAAAGAGCTAAGTGAATTTATTAAGTAGCTCGCATAAATTGTTACAGCTAAGTCGTGGAGTAAATTAATACTTAAGTTTCTATACTGTTACAAGTGAATTTAAAGATCGTTTTGATTATATGTATTTGGTTTTACATTTTTTTTTATAATATTAGGAGGCAAGCGAGCAAGCGGCCACCCGAAACCACCGAAATGGAAAGCGACCGCTGCCCATAAACATCCGCAATTGCATATGCGTTGCCCTAGCCTTAACTAACGGAGGAGGAGACGCACATAATGAAGACATTTCCCTTCCGATGAGTCACCTCTACCGACAATTCACTTTTTCTTCCCATCCTTTCCTCTTAATAACAGAGTGAAAAGGGGAAAAAACTAGAATTAGGCCTCCGGCACCACACTCATCGGACGAAACGCGGAATTGATTCCACTTCATGCCTGTTTCTGTGTGGTTTTACATCGGACGAGCCGGCCCAATCGTGCGATGTTAAAGCGGGCTCTACCTCTGTTAGATACCTTTAATAATTACCTTTTAAATACCTATTTTTAAATAGTTGGTATTGATAAATTAAACTATGTAAGGACATGCACATAAGCTATAGTATTTGAGTTCAAGGCTTTCTATAAAAACTCTAAGCGCTATAAGAACTCTATGGTTACTAGCAATAATAAAATCTATTTGTAAACTCAGTAACATTTTTAATGATTTCGTAAACAATTTATTTTCAAAGTTTACGTTATCACAACGAGTAGGTGTATCTAAAGTGTTATTAAAGAAAAAAATATTTCAGACTCCCCAGGAAATTTAGTAAGCAGAGATTATTGGCCGTACGTGCTTTACAGGGGCATTTCACAATCACAAAAGTGACAAGACAAACGACAATCTATTGTTAAAAAAGCCACTTATTTTTGTAGTTCTCGTAAACGGAAATTATCTCTGTTAATTGATTCCAATGTAAACATTTATGTAGGTGCCTTAAATACCCGAGCGATGTGTAAATATTTACACTTTTTGGTTTTACACTCCTTTGCCAAATGTGTAATTAACGAATTTGAAAGTTAGGAATTTTACAACAGTTCATTGAAACGATTGTGAAAATTGGGACGATTTACAAAAACAATGAATTTAATGAGATTTATTAAAAAAAAATCATTTGTATTTAAAAATATTTTTACTAGGTTATTTCTTTAGTTAATTACATTATGAAAACAAACTTGTGACGTATCAAGTAACGAAATTTCTAAGCGTAGATTGCAAAGGCTTGTTGAAAAAAAGAGTAACGCCTCAATATACGAAATGTATTCTTTTCTATTTCTGTAGCGAGCTCATAAATTAGAATGTTCTCGACGTTGCCCTTTGCCTTATTATTACAACCTCGAGTTTATTTCTATACCTAACTCAACCATATGGCTTATATGAGAAAAGGAGTAAAATATTGAACCAATACTCCTACTGGATACATTTAGTTTTACTAACAAATTAAAAATTTCATACTTCTACAAATTAATAATTCAATAAAACTTTTAACCTGCATTCATTTCCAAATATTGCAAATACTTTTGTAAAGCATTTTTAAAGTAATGAAATGTGTTCTTAATAAAGTCGGTTTTAATTTAATGTGTGAGTTTAAACATTGTTCTTTTATAAGTTTTAAGAATGTAAATTACTGCTATTGTAATAAAAAAATTAACATCATATTGCAGAAGTAGATAATTCAGTCTAAAACAAAACAATGTTGTTAGAAACTACGTGTACTAGATTCTCTAATGTCTAATGTCAGCTAAAAGATGGCGCTAGTAATGCAGTTTAATTAAAACAAAAACTGAAATAATCATCTATGCTTATGTGTCTTGAAAAATAGGGATGTTTGGATATTTTAAAGACTCACGAAGTTTCTATTCTTACAATCTGTACGCACAATCAAGCTCTATGACTCCTAACCTATATTTAAATTATTTACAGCATAAAGGGCAGCAAGGGAAACCTAGAAATAGCAATTTCATCATACACTAATTAATATCTACAACCATTCATTAATTCAACAATTAATTCTCTAACATATTTTGTTATTATTTTAACCGATGCTATAAGATCTTTTAAACGCCGCATTCCGTTTTCTTCTACAAAATTTTCTTTTATATCTTCTTCGGGTTGAAAATCCTTTAAGTTTGTCGTTATTTGTTAAATTCTCCACTATATGTGTCCACTTTTGGTCTAGATCTTCCGGTGGTTTGTCATTGACTAGAATTATAGGCTTTATGAAGTTAACACTCTTCTCAACAGGTTTAGTTTTTCTTTCTTCTTTTAAAGTTGATGTTCTTAACCAGTCTTTACGTATCGAACCACGTGGTGAGTTTACCTTCGAACTCTCCTTACTGGATATCACCAATTCTTCTAAATTATTGTTAGACAGTTGAGACACGCGTCCGTCGTCATTTACTTCTGTCCCAGATGTTAAAGCAGCTTCTGCATCTTGGAATTGAAAAAACTGAAATAAAAAAAATTAAATGTTAATATATGTCCATAGAATTTAAATTTGATGTCTTTAACGTAGTTTTGGCTCATAATTAAAATAAGTAATGAAGGTAACTTTAAGTTCTAATCTAAAATCTGCACTAATTTAATACTAGAGTTTAACTTATGTAACTTTCAATGGTCATGCCAACGATATTTATCTCAACAAATAGAAAAATCCTAACCTTAACTAGAGTACCTGGTAAAAATCTTAAAAGAGATCTTAAAAAAGATGTTTTTTAGAAAATGTACTCAAAATTACTTTATCTTTCTGATGACTCGTCAAGTCACTAAAACTGGCTTAAATAACGTTTTTCAACATTCTTTAAGATTCAAATCAACAGATGAGAGAAGAAATTGATTAAAAATAATATATTGTTTTTATAAAATAATGTAAACCTAAAGAGATATTTAGTGAAAAGCATAAAGAAGATACAAATCGTGTCGAGTAATTTCCTTAGAATTAATTAGTTTTTAACGGCTGGTAGAGACATAATGGCGGGAAACAGACGGTCAGATATCGATATAAACTGAACGCGGTACACAATTGGTACTTTAAGTATAAAATCGTAAAAGCGTCGTAAAACGCTTCAGAATACGTCTTCAAACTCGAAATATTGTACATGAAATTATTTTATTACAAAGTGTTCCTTGCGTAAAATAGCTACAATCGTGTCTCAAATGTTACTAAATTTATAATTTAAAATCAGTAGTAAATAACATATTCTGCTGGGTTGCTGAATTTTTCATTTACGTTTCATTTATTTTGCGTTAACTAGTGATTCAGTAGTGTTCGTTCCACCTAAGTTTTAACGGAGTAAAACTCAAGTTACGTAGTTGTGAAACACATTTAGCAGTAGCAGGCAAACCGGCCATTAGTAATGTAACAAATAAGTATGTAACTAGCTGAAGTTAAAAAAGTGACATTTACACTTATAGATCTACAAAAAGAGGAGATAGTTCAAATTGTAATATATCAGGGTTATCGAACAAAAGAATTTCCAACCAGCGATTTTCGTTAGTTAATAAATCTTAATAAACATCGGATTGTTATGAAACAAATTTTTATTTAAGTAAAACGAAATACTTATGTAAATAAATAACAAAATGAAACAAATGGTTTATGTACTCGTATAAAACATGATGAAAGGAAATGATTTAAACATATGCGTTACACTAAAATAAATGTTACGGCAGATTTGATCGCAATAAAATACATATCGAACGAAACACTCGTTAAAATTTTCAACAACTCGGATAATTCATAACGGAGTAACATGAAAGTTACTGGAGTTCGGAAATTAAACATTCCTTTGCTTTTATTATCACCTTGACGTGGTTATAACCTCTGATTTTATCGAGTTTGCTGTAAGAACAAGGAAGTTCATAGACAATATGACGAAATATTGTTCCTTATGATATAAGTTGCTAAAAATTAGATCGGAATTATCTTAGTATGACCCCTTAATCGCCCTTTTTATACGATGAGGGTTTTATATTTCTAGTCAAGCTACAAAAGTAATAAATAAACCATCAAGTATTCATTATAAATTGTTATACATACAGTAAAAAAAGAAAATATATAACACGGTTTACTATGATAATACTAAGTATGGCATTAAATCAAATCTAATAGCTTTACTCTGCTTTCGAACAACCAACCAACTACGATATCGAGGGCGAGGGCGCATGTACATTCATAATTTCACGGTAAAACATTAACACGTTTATGTATTTCGTGACCCTGCTCATTTTATAAACATACCTGTATGAACGATGGATTAAATTGACATTTTCAAAGGAATCTTTACGATCTTTGTCATTCACAATATCAAAGCGAAATCTACATAAATAACTTTGTAATCCAGGAAGTCTTAATTTTTAAAAGTTACGAGAATTTCCTAAATGTATTTTTAAAATTACTTAACAAAAGTTTATTTCTACGCGGTGTTCGTGACACAAGTTATTATCCCACATCTCGTTAGTGAAACTGTCCAACGTAACATCATTAAAACAAATGAATGGGCGACAATGTTGCACAGCATTGCCAGTTTCCGATTTAATACTGATAGAGTGCTAAATCGAAACTATAATGAATTCCTGTAATACCTGTACACGATTTCCGTACATTCCAGTTCGATAAGAATCGAATTACATATTCGATTCTTGACGATTATTTTTATTGTTTGCTTAAGACGAAGTTCAAAGATTTATTTATGACTAGCTTTCACGCGCGACTCCATCCCCGTTGAAATTATAAACAAAAAATCTAGTAGCTTATATGTTCTTCCTGACTATCCTCTACATCTAGGTATATCAAATTTCACCGAAATACGTATAGCAGTTTAGGCTACAAACTCTAACAAACATTTTTCCATGTATCTAAACTTTTGCATTTATAATATTAGTATGAATTATGATTTTAATTAAAAATCTAGAAAAATATTTACTCTATGATGATAGGAGACAACTCAAGTTTAAAATTTAAATCAGTTTTTTATATTCAATTTTGAAATAGAAAACAAATAAGGGCCTAGTTAATTAAAAATGAAGGATTTAACTACAAGAAACTAGTCATTGTTATTATTTTAATAACAATCGAAATGAAATTTTATAATATTTCAACAACAAGCGTTTAAATTGGTTTTCATAATTACCACTCGCTTTATAAAATTCACGTTCAAAAGCTGACCAGAACAAAATGAAAATGCACAAAGTGAATTTCACCAGAAACATAAGCAATTATTTATTG